TAAATAATTTAACATAATTTAGTAATCAATAACTTGACTCTAAAACATGCCTAGAGCAGCAATTACACCAAAATATGGAAACATTTTGCATTTAAGATAAAAAATGTTTCATCCATCAATATTCTCTATCCAGAACTCCTCAAGTGGAAAACTTTTAGTTTTACCTGGTTTCATTTCGTAAAAAGTCTTCTTTAAGGAACCTTTGGCTATCGATTCTTAATCGAAAAAATAATGGACAGATTAAACGATTCGCAAAATAATCGTTAGTCGCCGCCTTAACGAGCGATAAGCAGCAAGTCAGTGACTCGATGCAATCAGGTGCCAGTAGATGACTAATTATTTGTCAATAAAAGTAATTCTACCTTGTGAAGACGACTAAATGCGATCAGCTGCATTTTAATGACGATGTGTCGTATTTTGCTGCACGCTAACGACTCGATTAAACAAGCGGGCCTACTTAGACTCGGACTCAGAAACCAGTCAGCTTGTATCTGGTTAACTGGTCAGGTCTCTACAGATGAACACTGGAAAAACGATACTAGAAATAAATAAAAATGTCTTAAATTAAGTGTATTTACCCTTAATTTAAGTAGGTAAATGAGGTAGTTTGCCAACCGAATGAGTATTTTTACTTTAAAAGAAGATAATTAGATAACATGCACTTGAAATACCTCCCAATCCAGAAACAAATGCACTTATTTTAAGAAAAGAATGACTTCTCTAGATCTTGATTTTTTTAGTTACTCTGCCAACCTTCTCATCCTAGAAGGCTTCATTTGTTGTCATCACTAACTCAACCATCTGGACGCGCATCTGTCCCCAAGCTAACGACGACACTAAGCATGTCTGACCATTCAGGAGACTCTACGATCATTTTGTCTTAAAATAAGTGCATTGTTCTTGAATTGTGGAGGGAAATGAGACACTTTGCTAATGGAACAAGATAACTTGCATTTATAATACGAAAAAACAAAACAAAAAAAAAAACAAATGTAGCGTCTTATTTCCAGTGCATATTATCTAATTATCTTATTTTAAGAGTAAATGAACAAATCCTCTTATTTACCTGCTTAAATTAAAACTTAATTTAAGACATTTTTCCTTACTCGTAGGTCGTTTCTGCAGTGAAATCTGCAGGTGAGGTTAGAGGATCAGAGATTCTTCTGAAACAGTTTGAAGCTCAAAGCTTCTCCTGAGGAACTAAAGTTTAGCTGCTTTGAGTTTTTAAACCTTTTTGTTTCCTTGTAGAAATAAATTTTTAGAATCCAGAGAAAAACTTTTCCCTGCGCTGTGAACTGCAGGCGTCTTTTAATCAGCAGCTCCTCCTGATAATGAAAACCTGAGATAACGAGTCTTTTGTCGTCGCTGCTGATAAGAGCTGAAAAGCCTGTATCATTGTTCTCCATTAATTAGCCTGTACCCTTGGTAACCTGTACCCTTGGGTGTTGGGGGTAGGAATGGGGGGGGGGGAGTCATGTGATCTCTAAGCTTCCACAGCTTCTGTTGTCGCCGCTGGAAGTTGAACAGAAATAACGACACCAGTTTCCTTCTTTACACTTTAGTGAAATCACACAAATATACAAACTCAGCAGAAGGCAATGATATAAAAACGGACACAGGCTGTTACATGATTCATCATCAACATTACATTTCAAATCAGCAAAAAACCACAAATAAAAACAAGGCAATGGCGAATGGCATCAACGATGGGCCCTGACTACGTCCTGGACGGCGCTGCATCAAGGCGACACTCCAGGCAGACTGATGGTGGCGATGCAGAGCGGCAGGCGGCGAATCGACCAATCAGAGGTCTTCCTGCACCCAGCGGGGCTGGAACTGTTAGAGCTGATCTGTCGGCTTCCTGGTTACGGTTTCCCCGGTAACACCAGAAAATGCTTAAATTTCAAAAAACTTTTTCTTTCATTTTGAAATCGTTGTCATGACCTCCGGATGATTTGGCGAAGCCTTCTGATTGGACCCTTCCTGACCCGGGAGAATTAGAACTGAGGTCCAGTTCACAGCGTGTTTTTTGTTTTTTTTTAATCCCGAACATCCAGAATCTGAGAAACGATGTTGCTATGATACAAAGATTCGCCGTCAGCTCAGTCCACCAACCACCCATCTATCTATCAGGTGTGCAATGTGGGCGGGGCCTAATGAGGCACCTCCCCTTTATTGTAAACAGGATGTTAAGACGATCCATTTTTCGTTTTGTTGGAAATGTGAATAAAAACATCCTTCAGTCCGTCTGCTGCTGATCATATTCAACATGTAGCAATAATTCTTCTAAGCAGTAACACTCCAACTATTTCCCACGACTTTAACATTTTATCGGTTTCTTTTCCCCGTCTGGTCAGCAGCTCTCCGCCTGCTGTGATGATAGAATCAATGGTTTCTGGGTTTAAATACTTCTGAACTCTTCTTCATCACCATGAAGGCGTCCAGCCCACCGACTGTTTGCAGAGAAAGTGGTTCTGATCGATCGGATCGAGCCGTTTGCTCCAGGTGGACAGAAGTGAGACGGACGGATCAATCGGTGCATCGATTGAAGCTTTTCTCACATTTCAGAACAGAAATGTGACTTTCCTCAGAGCCAAACCTACAGGCTGAGTCAGAACTACGGATATGAAATGGTTGGTGGTCCGCCCCCCCCCCCCGCTGGGACGAGGATATGAGCTGAGTCTGTCCACACACCCCCACCCCACAATAAATAAATCCATCATAAAAAATAAATTAAAATAATAAATATCCCACCGCTTTGAGTGTCTGTGTGACTTCAGCTTAAGCCCCACCCCCCCACAGGACTCCCCGGACTCGGCCCCACCCCCTTAAAGACACGGCGACGCTGCCACAGAGGAAATCCAGCCAATCACTGATCAGTGATGTCATCCTCCTGGAAGTTTCCAGTCGCACATCTGGATGGAAGTTCAACTGAAAACAGCAGGAAAGTTTAGTGGAGGAAGATCTCAACAGAGGAGGATTAGGGCCACTGAAAACATTTAAAAAAAGTTGACCGATTTTTAAATATTATTTGAGTTTAATATTAGAAAAAAAATGCCTGACAGCTAACAAACATGTTAGCATCCAGCCGTGGACATGTCTGCCTTGATTTAATCACCTTCTGTTCTTCTATTAATCAAATAGCATCAGCAGGGACACTCAGGGACGGAAAAAGTCATTCTGTCATTTTCTGTCAATGAAGCTCCACATCTCTGCCTTCATGGTGCCCATCTACATTAAGATCTACAATTCTGAGATTAAAGTCAAAATTCCCA